AACCCCTAAAGCCCCTAAAACCCCCAAAACCCCCAAACCCCAAAAAACCCTCAAAAACCCTAAACTCTACAAGAACAAGGCCCAGGATCCTTTCGTGACCGGACGTCCCAAAGCGCGGCTTGGTTTGGACTGTCCAGCTCTGCCTGGAGGGTTTAGGGTTTAGGGTTTAGCGTTTAGGGTTTAGGGTTTAGGGTCTAGGGTTTAGGGTTTAGGGTCTAGGGTTTAGGGTTTAGGGTCTAGGTTTGGACTGTCCAGCTTTGCCTGGGTGCTTTGCAGCAGCAGCGGAACATCGTTGAGACCCGTTCTCCTTGCTGGTTCAGAATTTCTAGGGGAATTTAGGGTACCTTTTGGGGTTTAGGGGTTTAGGGTGTAATTAAAGCTTAACCTTTCAGATTATGCAGGAATAAAAAAAAGGATTCTACTGAACTTTTCACCCTCCAAGATCGCTAAAGGAGACCTGCCCCTCTACTAAACCCTAGATTAAACCCAGAACCCTAAATCCTGAACTTGAAACCCTAAGCCCGAAACCCTCTAACGTAACGCTCCCCTAAACCTTAAAGCCTTCTATACCTTAAACCCTAAACCTTAAACCTTAGACCCTAAACTACCCTAAACACTAAGCCCTAAACCCTAAACTTTAGATCCTAAACCCTACACCCTAAACCCTCACTCAACCTTAGACCCTAAGCCCTAAACCCTAAACCTTAGACCCTAAACCCTAAACCCTAAACCCTATCTTCTACCAAGTCTCAGTGCGTCGAGGACCGGCATGGTGATGGTCTCTCCGTCAACGAAGACCAATCCGTGCATTCTGCTCCCCAGGCCATCCTAAAGGGTTTAGGGCTGAGGGCTTAGATAGGGTTTAGGGTTTAGGGCTGAGGGCTTAGATAAAGTTTAGGGTTTAGCGTTTAGGGTTTAGGGTTTAGCGTTTAGGGTTCTGGGCTTGGGGGTTAGGGTTTAGGATTTGGGGTTTAAGGGGTTTAAGGGTTTTGGGCTTAGGGTTTAGAAGTTTACTGTTCAGGGTTCAGGGTCAAGGGTTAGGGTCCTTGTTCGTGGGGTAATCGAAGATCGGCGCGTCCGTTTCGGGTTCCGAGTAGGAAGTTGGCAAAGCACCATCCAGTTCGGCAGCGTCCGCCGTGTAGAGGCATTCGAGCAACGTGGACTCACTCATGCCGGCGCAGGGCGTGTGGGGAAGGAGCAACGCACGGTCCTGCGCCTCCTCCGGGGGTGTTTATGGGGGGTTTGACAGTTGGGCGTAGGGTTTAGGGTTGAAGGGTTTCAAAACCCTAAACCCTAAACCCTAAACCCTAAACCCTAAACCGTTTCGGGTAGGGTTTAGGGCTCTTGGCTCCCAGAACATGGAATAGTTCAGAGGTTCCTGCTTTTCATTATAATAATGGCAACTTGAAGTACGTCTCTCAAGAACGACTACAAAACCTCATAAAGCAGTTTCATAAAAAAAACGATGGCCGAAACGAAACTCCTCAACAAGAACCCTATGGGACCCTTGTAGATCCCTTAAACGACGGTTTAGGGTTTAGG